ATCTATAAGTATTTGACTGATAAGACGGAAATGAACGGAAAGACTCATATTTATAATACCATATGCATATTCATATATTCACATATATACGTAGATACATACAGTCAAACCTCATAAGAGTGCATGTATGTTTAGCTGGCACTTTGATTGATGGAAATGAAATGAAGGCAAAGTGAGATGCGGCCGAGAACTGGGCGGTAAGTGAGCAGATAACAACAATTTCCACAAGTACTTCATTCAATTCATTCAGTAATAATACAACTTTTGTGTAGTAGAGCAACCGTATAAGAGTTGAGAAAAAAAAAACACACAAATAAATAGTACAAATAAAAATAAAATTATACAACGGTAATGAACTGCACTTAACAGCGCAAAAAAAAAAATAAACAAAAAAAAAAGTAATAACATTAACAATGACAATAAAGATAACTCAATAATATACATTTAGAGTATAAGTACATATGTACTTAGTTATATACTTTTGTATGTATGTATGTGGAATAGGTAAATAAATTAAAATTTACTTAATAAATTTATTGGCGTAAATAGAGAATATAAAATGCAATATAAGCAAGTTACACTGATATATATATATATAGATATATATGTATATATATCTATGTAAACAAGAGTATGTTTATTGTCGGTACATATATTAATATATAATATGACTGCACTTGGCTGGCATACATATGTATGTAAAACCACACACACATGATACATACTTATAATTAAATTCATTCATTTAAAATGACAGTTAAAAATAAAAACAAATAAAGTTATGAATAAGACGCTTTCATTGCATCAATGAAATTTTAATTGTAAAATTTTACTTAACTACACATATGTACACGTGTGTAATTAAGTAAACTTCATAAATATATTTGTAGGCTGATAAATAAATAAAGCAGTTTTTTTTTGCAGTTTACGCCTGCCAAAGGTTGAGTCGCATGTGTAGGAAAAAAAAAATATTTTGCAGTTGTAAAATAAAAATCGATATATACATATGTACATACATACATATACTCGTCTACACTTATTGCTATTCATTAGAATTTCCCATTATAAAAAGCGCGGAATAGTTTGTGCTCAATTCATTAAATTTTGCCATACCATTTTTGTTGTTGTTGTAAAATTCATTTATCATTTATACTATTTATAGCATTTCCTTTTGATAACGCCACATTTCAAGGTGAAAAGTTGACAAAATTGACAATGTGACATACACATTAAGGGCCTTAAAAGCCCACACCAAACCGAAAGCAAAATAAAAAGTTCATATTTCACTTATAAATTCCATGACAATTAGATAGGAAAACAAAAACAAATACAAATAAAAAAAAGTGTACTTACTCACTACGTGCGTTGAGAAGAGTGTGCTAATTTTTGGTTTTTCTGTATTTGGAATTAATTTTTAATTGAAAATGCACGCTTTCGAAAAATATATATCAAAGCTGTACAAGCTGCAGCTTCAGGTAATCGTATATGTAGAGTAGTGCGAACAGCTCCATACTCGTTGTTGGTTGAATGCTCAATTTAATTTTTTTTTTTTTCAATTTTGAACAACTCGAGTGGCATGAATAAATGTTTTTGAGTTTAATTTTAAGGTGATTAAGGGATGACTTTTCAAAAATTTTTTTACGCAAATTATGATCAGAGTCTATTTAAAATTAAAATATAATTTATACAACATAAAAAATTATATATAATATATCGCACTTGTAAATGACCGACATCTGAAAACAAAAAATAGCACTCGGCTTGGATTATCACAAAAAATGTATGGATTTTTTAAACGATAGATTGATCTTCATCAACTGTAGACTTAATAGTATTTTTTATTTAAAAAAAATCTTGTTTGACTGAAATTTAAGTTTCAAAAATTAATTACCATTATTAGTTAAAATTTTCTTATATAGTACTCTTTTGTAACAGGTATAGGCGGGGATTGATTGATTTTTCTGTATTCAAAGCTGAAAAAAAGAAAAAAACTATCGATCGTCGATGGACGATCTGGTGTTCATATTCATCTAAGGAAATCCAATTTCTCGTAAATTGAACCATTGATTTCACTTTTTTGAATATCGTTCTCTGATTCAGTTCCCAGAAGAAAAAGTGATGTTCAGCGAAAAGCTGCAAACGCATATTCAAAATTTAAAGAAAATAGAATTATTAATATTGTACGACTTTTTAGATTAGATCGGTCCATGATCGGCTTCTCATTATTATTAGTATATTATATTTTACTATTTTGACACATTTCACGAACATGAAATCATATATTAACTTAAGTTCTATGTATGTAAGTACCTGAAGGAAGACGATCTGAATTGATGTAGCCATGCCCTTTTATCTGTCTGTCCGCTGGTCTGTTTGAACTCACATAAATCTCGCAGTTTTTGAGATATTTAAACGAAACTTTGTATGTAGATGTATTTTTTCAAAATATTGATCACTTGTAGGAGCAGATCAGCCGACTTTATCACGTAGCACCCATACAACCGATTTGTTTAGACATGAGCTTTTGGATCAAACTCAGTCAAAATGGCATTTGAGGGCGTGAAATTTTTGTACTCAACCCTCCTTAATTCATATTATAATTGATACTGAACATCATCGCATTCTAAATACTATATCATATAGTTCCAGTATAACCGATTCGTTCATAAATCCATCAAAAAAGCATTGAGAGCCACGAAATTTCCATTTTGTAAAAAATTAGGTTCATGAA